CTGATCATCCTGGTCCCACCTCTGGATCACTCCCACATTTCCATGTCCTTCCTGTTCTGGGATCAGAATTCCTTCAAAATCTTCGAAGCTGGGGACAGAATTCCTTCAAAACCACCCTCATTCCCTTTGGAATGGATGGAAAACCCAGGGCACACTGGCTGGAATTTCCATTTTCCTAAGCAGCAAGCAGGATCATTCCCAGAAGGAAAACACCTCCTTCCATCTTTATCCACGTATTCTCATGGATTCGGGTCATTAATTAAGCGATTAATTAATCAAGCGATTAATTAGCAATTAGAAAGGAAGCGATACCTACATGAGGCGGGGCCCGGGAATCCGGGATGTTAATTAGTGCTGAGCTCGTCAAACCCTCGGAAAGCTACAAATTAAAATGATCCGTTATCCAAGGAATGCCGGGAACGGGGATGAACAAACAGCAGCGAGAGCAACAATTAAAGGGATTAATCCAAACTAATATTCCCAACCGTGACGAGGCAAATTCGGGTTGAGCACAGGGTTTGTTTTTAGGGATGTTTAACAAACAGTTGGAATGAGGTAGAGGAAAAATGGGATATTAAAGGGGGAAAATATGGAAAAGCTGTTAGTAATTCCCAGAGGAGGAGAAGCTTTTTCCTGGATACCCAGGGCTGTAAACTCAGGGAATTATCCCAGAATGCAGGGAAAGATCTGAGCCAGGGGGATTTAGAGTGGGATTGAGAATGTTCAGAATCAAGGTCGTGGTCCAAGCCCAGATTATCCTGGGCAAACCAAAACCAGGGATCACTTCCATGGGCAGGAAGTGGTGGCGCTGGGATTCCAAGGATCCCTTGGAGGTGGAAAAGGGGGAGGAATGAAAGGTTCTTCCCAGAAAACAGCCAGCTTTGTGGATCCTGACAGCATTCCCGGTTATCCAGAACAGGCTTGTTCCCAAAACCCTGCTCTGATCCCACCAGATCCAGAGCAGCACCCTTGGGCCAAACTCCACCATTTCCAGTTGTTCCATAGGGAAAAAATTCCCTGAGGATCATTTTCCACCAGGATTCCCTCACAGCTCCCAGAGGCTGCTGGGAACTGCTCCTTTCCAGCAGATTTCTATGAGGAGACGGAACAAATCCCTGCTCATCCCATGATCCTGATCTGAGGGTTTCCCACAATTTGGAATTGGGATTTCCCACGATCCAGTGCTGGAAGTGCCTGGACAATCCTGGCTGTCATTCCCAGTGGTGGGATTCCCAATCTGTCCCATTTTTCCAAGTGGTCAGGATGGAAGGAACACCCTAGGATGCTCAGATTAGGATCAGCAGTGCCCATGATTCCCTGGAATTCGCTGCTCAGATTCCCATGATTTATTCATGGAAAACCACGTTGAGGGTAAACCTGCTCCCATTTTCTCCTTCAGGAATAAAACCTCTGGATAGGGACACATCTCCCTTTATACCCCCTGGAGCTCTGGGAGCTGCTCCCAGGAATGTGGAATCTCATCCCAAAGATTCCAGAGGAAGGAATGAGACAAAGTTTTGGAATCCTGGAGCTTTGCTCCCTTCCCGAGTCTCTTCCCATGGGAATGAACCCCAGGAAAACACCAGGAGCAGAGCAGGCAGGACAAGACCTGATCCAGCAGCTTCTTCCAAAAATTCCACCTTTCCAAAACTCCACCCCGTGTCCTTCTCCCAGAGAACCAAACTAGACAGGATCAGCCGGGAAAAGTCTCTTTTCCATGACTTTTAGGAGGATTTTCCTCACTTTGGGTGACCGGGATGTGATTCCTGTGCACTTAAACTGGTTTTTGAACTCCAGCTGAACTCCTGATCCCGCTTGGATGAGATGGATAACAAGCTCCTAAACCTTGGAGCAGAGGGATTTCACCTCTGGTTGTTTTCCCAATTTTCCAAGGAAAGCAACAAAGGGATCCTTTGTTCCAACCATCCTTCGGAGCAGGGACCAAAGCCAGGCTTGGCAAGGAGGGAGAAAAACTCCGGAGCCACACAAGGAAACACATCCATGAAAAATCCTGGCTCTGGCTTCCAAAGAGCCCTGAGCACGAGCTGCTGGCTTGGGATCCATCTCTTTTCCCAGGAAAGTGGAGCAGGATGGTCCCTGAGGGCTGGGATTGCTCCTTGGCCTCCCAAATCTGGCCCTGGATGGGCGGAATGATCCCAAAGGTCCATCCACGCCTCAATCCATGTCCACCTCCAGGACAGGAGCAGCTCCCAGGGCCAAAATTCCGAGGTGGGAATTTTGGGTTGGCTTTCCAGGAAGAAGCTCCCTCCTTTTCTGAAATAACGGGAAAAACAAGGAGAGAAACAAATGGAGGACGAATCCAGGCTCAAACTGAAGAGCTCCATTGGAAGGGGGATTGTTTGGAAGATGCTTCTTCCAGAAAAAAAAAAAAGCCGGAATTTTCCACTTTGGAATGGTTTTGTCACATCCCTCTCTCCATTTCCCTGCTGTCTAAACTCTTCCCTAAATTTGATCTGAGCTTGGAGAAGTTTCCAATAAAATTATCCCAGAGAACAAAGCTCCAGGATTCCAAAGCTCCGTCTCATTCCTTCCTCTGGAATCTTTGGGATGATTCCACATTCCCAGGAGCAGCTCCCAGGGCTCCAGGGGGTATAAAAGGAGGCTTGTCCCTATCCAGAGGTTTTATTTCTGAAGGAAAAAATGGGAGAAGATTTGCCACCAATGTGGTTTTCCATGAATAAATCATGGGAATCTGAGCAGAGAATTCCAGGGAATCATGGGCACTGCCAATCCCACTGTGGGCATCCCAGGGTGTTCCCTCCATCCTGACCACTCGGAAAAATGGGACAAACCAGAAATCCCGGTGGGAATGACCAGCACCACATTGTCCAGGTACTTCCAGCACTGGATCGTGGGAAATCCCAATTCCAAATTGTGGGAAACCCCAGATCAGGATCATGGGGCTCAAGTTCCACATCCCAAGTTGGGATCCCGCAGTGGGTTCAGCCCCCAGAAGATTCCCACATTATTCCCTCCATTTTCTCCCAAGTTCCTCTGTCCTAGACTAAAAAAGAGGGAATTTAGTACAAACGTTCCTGTTCCCAAATTCCGTGATTTCTATGGACATGCTCCAATTACTGCCCTGATAAGAGACAAAGCCCAGCCGTAAATTTTAAGGACAAATCCTTAAATGGGAAGCGAAAAGGAGGGAATGAGGCTGCTTTCCCAATATCCCAGGAGCATTTTTGGGAGCTACTTTTCACCGGAGCCAACTTTTCCTAATTCTCCTGTCCGGTTCCTAATGGAGGCTGAAGGATTTCAGGACAAGATCCCAATGGAGCTGTGAATAGGATCATGGAATCATGGAATTATTTGGGTGGGAAGGATCCTAAATCCCATCCCATTCCACCTCTTCTGTGGGCACTATTCCAGGTTTCTCCAAGCTGGCCTTGGACACTTCCAAGGATGATGATTTGGGATGAGCAGGGCCATGTCCTCAGGTTTATTTTTGGAATAAGCCAAATTCCTGATTCCCAGCATGATGTGGGACCCACCCCGAGCCTGCCTTGGGATACACCACAAATAGCCAACAGCATCAGAAAATCCTTGGGAATAAAAACCCCCAGGAGCCACCAAGGACGTGGATAAAGAACAAGATCCATGCCCAAGTTGGACATCTTGGATTTAGCAGCTCCTCCATCCCTGGAATTGCTCAAAGCCAGGGAAACTGAGGCAGGAAACACCTGGAAGGCAGATTCCTTCCAAGAACTCCAGCTTTTCCAGCCCTGTGGCATCCAGAAATAGGGAAAAGGGAAATTCCAGTCCTTGATATTCCACCAAGGGATGGGAGACCAGGAAAAGCTCCACCAAACATTCCTGACATCATTCCCAGCTGCTCCAGAGGCAGCATCGCCTCTGGATCCATGGATCCCACACACAGCTCTGTCCCAAAGATCCTTTCTCCTGGAGAAGGAACCTGAGGGCTGTGGAGATGGGAATTTTCTGGAAGAACAAAAGGTCCCGTGGTGTGTCCATCCTGATCCCTTCCCAAGGGAATGCTGAGATCCCTCAAATTCATTGGAACTGCAGCAATTTCCCCCTCCTTCCATGCTCCCACCACCACAGATTTGGGATTCAGGATTCCACAATCCCAGTCCAGTAAAATTCCAGGAGCCAAACTGGGACAAGGAGACCTGGCCATGGATCGAGGAGGACGGAGCCTCAGGGAATTTTTGCTTTCCTTGGGAAGAGCCCAGCACGGATTTCTCTCCATCAGGAAAGCAAATCCAGCCCTGCATTCCTAAAATAGGGAATGAGGAGGAGTTTGGGGTTGTGCAGGTGAGGAAAGGAAGGGAAATCACGTGGAAGTTGGAAAAGGATGGATCCAACCGGATCCGGCCCCACATCGGCACCTCGGATCCAACCACCAGATCCACCGGAGCACGGAAAGAATCCGGGATTCTCCCGGCGCGGTCGCGTTTTCCGTACCTGGATGGGGATCAGGGGCTCTTTGTCATCGATGTCGATGAGGACGTCGTCCCTGGGCGTGAGGCTGACGTCATCTGCAACCAGAGCGGGGCGGCACCGTGATCCCGGGATTTGGGAATCTCAGAGCCCAGAAACCTTGGGATTGACCTCCAGGAGTGATCCTAGTTTCTCCCAGACTCCACTTCCATGATTCCAATCCCATCCAGACCCTTCCCATTACCCAAAGTTGATATACACGATCCCAAACTCATCCCAGAGCCTCCCCACCATTCAAAGGTCATCTCCATGATCCCAAACTTATCCCAGACCCTTCCCACCATCATCCAAAGGTCATCTCCATGATCCCAGCATCTCACAGACACTTGCCCACCATCCAAAGCTCATCTCCATGATCCCAATCCCCATCCAGGGCTCCAAGGAGTCAGGAGAGGGACTTGGGACAAGGACATGGAATGCCAGGACAAGGGATGGATTGAACTGAAAGAAGCGGAGATTTGGGTGGGATTTTGAGAAGGAATTCCTGCCTGGGAGGGTGGGGAGGGGCTGGGCTGGAATTCCCAGAGCAGCTGTGCCCACCCTTGGATCCCTGGGAATGTCCAAGTCCAGGTTGAATCCACCTGGGACAGTGGGAGGTGTCCCTGCCATGGATGGGGTGGAACAGGATCACCTTTAAATTCCCTCCCATTCCATGACTCCATGAAGGACACAAACCCAAATATTCCCACGGACCTGGCTGCTCCTGGGGCGCCCCCGTGTCCTGCTGGAAGGGATCCCAGTAGAATTCCTGGAGGGAGCGGATGGTGCACTGTCCCACCACGGGTCTCCGGCCAAAGGGGCGGTTGTCGATGATCTTCAGGATGATGGGGGGGCTGTAGAGGCTCTCCTTGGGCAGACGCTGCGGGAAGAGGGAAGGGAAGATGGAATGAGGCTGGAAAGGGAGGGCAGAGGTTCTGCACCAACCCCAAAAAAACAAGGGAAGAAGGAGCTTCAGCAGAAGAACAGATTTTATGGAATTTTGGGGTCCTGCACCAGAAAAAAACGATTTTATGATGCCTCCAGGTCCTTCACCACATGATCCATTATGGAATTTTGAGACCTTTCACCAGAAGAACCATTTTTATGGAATTTTGAGGTCCTACACCAGAAAAAATGATTTTATGACACCTCCAGGTCCTTCACCACATGATCCATTATGGAATTTTGAGACCCTTCACCAGAAGAACCATTTTTATGGAATTTTGAGGCCCTGCACCAGAAAAACTGACTTTATGACACCTCCAGATCCATCACCACATGATTAATTTTTATGGGGTTTTAGGTCCTTCATGAAATCCATTTTCACGGGATTTTGAAGTCCTTCACCACAATATCCAATTTTATGGGACATCCAGGTCCTTCAGTATGAGACCCATTTTTATAGGACCTCCAGACCCTTCAAAGAATCCATTTTTAGGGGACTTTGAGGTCCTTCACCTCAAGATCCAATTTTATGGGACCTCCGGATCATTTTGATCAAGATCCATTTTTATGGGTCTTTGAGGTCCTTCACAAGACACATTTTTATGGAATTTCGAGGTCCTTCACCCCAAGATCCATTTTTTGGGACCTCCAAAGCCCTTCACAAGATCCCCTTCTATGGGACTTCGAGGCCCTTCACCAGACCTATTTTTATAGGATTTTCAAGTGTTTCACCTCATTTCTGAGGATTTTCCCTTCCCCCTGCACCACCCCAGTCCCACTGGGACCTCACCACTTCCATGAAGAGCACGCAGACGTCGAAGTTGGGGTTCTTCTTGACGTTCTTGATGACGCCGGACTGGACGCGCTGGCCCCCGCACTCCACCAGCAGGCTGGGCGAGGTCACGCTGGCCAGCTGGAAACTCTTGAGATTCCTCAGCCCCCAGGCCAGGATCTGTGGGATGAGAGGACACCAAATCCTTGAGGTTCCTCATCCCCTAGGATCTGTGGGATGAGGGGACACCAAATCCTTGAGGTTCCTCATCCCCTAGGATCTGTGGGATGAGGAGACACCAAATCCTGAGAAAATCCTTGAGGTTCCTTCAGGCCAGGATTTGTGGGATGAGGGGACACCAAATCCTGAGGCAAACTTCTGCTTCCAAGATTCCATGGAGCTCCTCGGCTCCGGAGGAGAACCTGGAAGTTGAACCGTGTGGGACAAGCAGTGGTGGGAATTATGGAATCCTTGAGGTTGGAAAAGATCTCCAAGGTCATCAAGTTCAACCTGTGACCGATCCCCACCTCGGCACCAGGAGTTCCTTCCATCCTTCCAGGGATGGGGATTTCAGATCTCCCTGGGCACTTCCAATGCCTGACCACCCTTCCCATGAGGAAATTCCTCCTGATTTCCAAACTCAGCTTCAACCTTATCCCAACCCCTGTTCTCTGAGCTTCATCATCATCCCATACCTTGTTCCCTGAGTTGCATCCTTATCCCATCTCTCATTCCCTGAACTTCATCCTTATCCCATCTTTCATTCCCTGAACTTCATCCTTATCCCATCTTTCATTCCCTGAGCTTCATCCTTATCCCAACCCCATTCCCTGAGCTTCATCCTTATCCCAACCCCGTTCCCTGAACTTCATCCTTATCCCAACCCCCTTCCCTGAACTTCATCCTTATCCCATCCCTCATTCCCTGGCAGCAGACCCCCAACACCTCCAGCTCCACCTTCCTGTCAGGGAATTCTGAGGAGCCAGAAGTTCCCCCTGGAGTCTCCTTTTTTTTTTTTTCCCCAGAATCCCACCCTGGAATCCATCTGGGATGCCATTCCCGGATCCATGGCTCACCTCGATGGCCGTGCGCTGCAGGACGGGTTTGATTCCCTGCGGGACCATGTAGACGTTGGGCTCCCGCTGCGGCGGCGGATAGGGAAGGTCGGAATCCGCAGACTGCGGGAGCGGAGAGGGGAAGGAAAACATCAGGAAGAGCCAGGATGGGACATCAAACCCTTTTCCATGTTGGATCCACCCAGCATCTCCATCTTTGCCAAACTCATCTTTCCCGGGAAATCCAGGACAGCCCGAGGAGAGAGATGAGGAATGGCAGGATGGAGGCGCCGGAAAAATGGTTTTTATCTCTTTAATCCATCCTGGAAAAGATCCAACATTCCTGAGCTTTTCCCAGGAAAATAGAAAGGATCTGAACCTCCAAGGTTCAACCCTTTTTAGGGAATGATGGGATGGAACCACCTCTATCCCATCCTGGGATTGTGGCGGGATGAGGAAAGGGATGAAGCAGCAGCGGGTTCGTAGCTGGGCGATTCCCAAAAAATGTAGTGGGAGCAGCACCGTGGGATGGGGGATTGGCATCACCTCTGGATCTGGGAAGAGGCTGTGGTTCATCCCACACTTCATGGATAATCCAGAAATCCATGGGATAGGACTCAGGTGAAACTACCTAAGGATTCCATTGGGATCATCCCAAATCTGGGAGGCAGCCACGGAATTCCCGATTTGCCTTCCCGAAGGAGGAAAGTGGGAGACTGAATTCTTCCCCTTTTCTTCTCCTGCATCTCCCAGAGCCCCCAGAAAGGCTGGAATGAAAGCAAAACCTCTGGAAATCCATCCTAGGAGCATGGAATTCTCTCCCAGCTGGAATTTTATTGGATTCAATGGCACATGGGTGTATTTTAATTACAGGATTAGATGAGGGATTGGCTCTCCAAAGGGATTTTCCACATGGAATCATGGAATGGTTGGAAAGGACCTTAAGGATCAGATCATCCAATTCCAACTCCCCTTCCCATAAAATTCCAGGCTTTAACTTTCCTTAGGAATTGCTGGTTCCTGAGTCCAGTTCCTTGTTAGCCAAAGGTTTTTGGGAATTCCTTGTGGGAGAAGGTGCCTGGGATTCCCACATGGAGCAGCCACTCCTCCATCCCATGATCCACATGCTCCCAGAGCTGATTAGTGCTGGCAGGGAACGGGAATTTTATCTGGGATAACGCAAAGGAGAAGCGAGAGCTGCAGAGAATTCCCATATTCCCTGGGTTACCTCTGGAACTCTAATTCCCAAAAAAACCTCCTTTCAGGCTGTTCAGGCCCAAAATCATGGAATGGTTTGGGTTGGAAGGGATTTTAGTGATCAGTCTTTTGGCAAATCCAATGGGAAATCCTTGGGAAGGAGCTCCTGCCCCACCCATCGTCTCCAGGATCAACCTGGATTTCAACCCTGCATCATTCCAGGGTTTTTTAGCTCCTTCCTGCTGCTCTCCCAGTGGTTTTCCAGGCGTTCTCCTGGATTCCAGCTGAATCCTGGAGGATGGAATGTTCTGCTGGATGGATGGGAACGAGCAGGGAATGCCGGGGATGAGGTGGGAGCAGGGAGGGATCGGGATGGGAGTGAGGAAAAAGCAATTCCCAGACAAAGCTGGCTGGAGGGAGGAAAATCCATGAAAATCCTACTGGGAGCTGGGATGGGTTGAACAAGGATAAATCTGAGGGAATCCCGGTGGCAGGGAGCTCTGGAAACCACGGATTCCAATCCGGATTTGGATCCAGGTTGGATCAATGTGAAAATCGACATGGATGAGGCAAAAAAAAAAAAAAAAAAAAAAAAGGCTGGAAAAGATTCCGGGTTTAGATGGAAGCTGGGATGTGATCCAAAGATAAATCCCAGCATTTGGTGGGAATTTAGCCCCCAAAAGGCCATTCCCAAGAAAAAAATGGATAAGGATGGAGCCAGCCTGATCCTTCAGGAGCATCCATGAGGCACCGGAGACTCCGGCCAGCACCAATCCTTGGGATGCAGCTCCAGGAATTTTATTGGGATGGGGTTCCTGCAATCCTGCTCTCCCTGAAAGGCTCTGCTGGGATTTCCTTGGATTCTGGGAAAAGGGAAGGAAAGGGAAAAGAGTGATACCCATTGGAGGAGCCCCTCAGAGAACAAGGCAGGCATGCAGAGCTGTGGAAAGCCCCATCCCGGAATTCCAGCAGTGGGAAGAAATGGAGGAAAAAAGAGGAGAGAGATGATTATGGACACACAAAACAGCAGGATGAGCTCCCAAGGAAAGGAGGCTTGGGTGGGAAAAAAATCTTGGAAAAATGTGTTTATCCCATCCAATCCAGGCTTTCCTGGGAATGTGGCTCAGGTCTTTCCTAGCTTGTCTCCTAGATTTTGGGATTAACATCTCCAAGGGCCACCACAACATTCCAAGAGTTGTTCCCTTTCCCTGCCTGCAGTTTTCCAAGATCCCAACTCCACCTCTTGGTTCAGCCTGGGATCGGCTCCATGGGATGCAGGAGGATAAAGTCTTGGGGTCCTGGGTGTGGAATCAGAATCATGGGAATGATGGAATCATGGAATATTTCCTGTTGGAAAACTCATCCCATTCCATGGGTGGGAAACCTCCCACTATCCCAAGCCCCATCCAACCTATCCCTGAACTTTTCCTGGGATGAGGTATGAAAATTTCCTTTGGAACAACTGGAACAGTCTGGCACATCCTTGCCTTACTGCAAATTCCCAATGGAATGTTTGGAACTGGGATTTCCCCAGGGCAGCCCAGCATTCCAGCTCTGGCACGCCCAGGTTGAAAGGTTGGGATGCCTCATTCCAGAGGGTAAATGGATCCCAACATTCCTGGCCATGAGGAAAAGCCCATCTGGCCAGGGGTCACTCATATTCCCAAAATCCTGATGCTCCTGGCTTGACCCATCCAGGAAAAAGAGGATTTCCCAAAGAAGCAAATCTGAACAATTCCAGGATTAAAACCAAGGAATTCCCAAAGACTCACCTCATCCAGGCTGGAGGAGAGATCACTCTGGGAAAGAGGAGAGGACAGAATTAGAGGAATTCTCATCCCTAAACCCATCCCAAGATTTGTAATTGGAGCTGACAACCGAAGGGAATCATGGAATGGATTGGGCAGGAAAAATCTTAAATCCCATCCAGTCCCACCCCCTTCCCCTATTCCAGCTGGATCCAACCTGGCCTTGGACACTGCCAAAGATCCAGGGGCAGCCACAGCAAATCTGGGAATTCCAGCCCAGGCAGGAATTCCTTCCCAAGATCCCAGCCCAATCTCCCCTTTCCCAGTGGGAGCCATTCCCTGGGTCCTGTCCCTCCAGGCCTTGTCCCCAATTCCAGCTCTCCTGGAGCCCCTGCAGGGACTCTGAGCATTCCCTGGAATTTTCCCTTCTCCAGGGGAACATTCCCAGCATTCCCAGCCTGGCTCCAGAACCTTTGGAGCATCTCCATGGGATCCTGTGGATCCTGGAATGTGATAAATTTGCCCTGTCAGGAACGAGCTGCCCCATTCCCAGCTGGGGAAAAGCAGGATCTCCAAGCAGAAATTCCTTCATCCTAAAATAATTCCCTAAGACAGGATGGAGGGATTGCTGGAAATGGGCTCCAAATCCCTGGGAAAGCTGGGAATGGTGCTGGATTTGCAAGGAGGAGTCAGGAATTACCTCAAATCCAGGGATGTGATGCACAGCCGGCTGCAGGGAGAGAACACAATTCCCATTAACATTCCCGGTGCTAATTCCTCTTTTTCCAGCAGGGAAACTTCAACCCCTTCCATTCCCAGCTCCAAAAGTCCTGGATTCTCATCCAGCCAGGAAGCACCAAATCCACCCCGATGATTCCCACTGGGATCAAACAGCTCCTCTGGGAGCACATCCCATTCCAAGGCCTTCCCAAGGCTTTTCCCACCCGGTTCTGAGGGAATGAGGAGGAGGAAGAGGCCACGTGTGGGTATCTGGGACCTTGTCCTGGTGTTTGGGCTGGGATTTCCAGGGAAGAGGGAATTGTGGGATTCCCATTCCCAGATAAACCTTGAGGCTGGGAAAGAAGAATGGGATACAGGGACTGAGCTTCTCAATCCATTCCTTTTTCCTGGCACATCCAGGATGCAGCCATTGGAAAAGCCAGAATGGCTTCAGCTTCCTAAATTCCCTCCAGATATCATTCCAAGGAAATTGCAGCATTCCTTAGGGATTTGGAAATTCCCAGCTCCCTCGATATCCCTGAGACCCCCCAGGACTTGTCTGAGGAGAGAAGGATCCATCCAGCCCATCCCACCTGGAATTCTGCAGTTTTCCATCAGGCCAACCCTAAACCCACCTGGAAAACCTCATCCTATGGAATTATCCCACAAAAAGGGACAAATCCCAAATCCCTCCCGCTTTTCCGAGGCACCAATGGATGCATTAAACCCAACACCTGGAAAAGCTGGATCCTGGGGAAGAACCAGAATTCCAGAGCATTCCAGGCTCAGGGATGGATCTCACCTTTTCCCTCTGGATCAGCTCGAAGGCAGCCAGGAGCTCGCCGACATTCCGACCGGATTTGAGGACGGGATACCAGGAAAGCCGGGGCGAGCGCTCCAGGCTGGGCCGGCAGATGCAGCGCCCCATGAATTCATCCGCGCCCTGGGAAGGGAATTCCAGGGAATTGGGAGCCATGGGAATTGGGATCATCTTTCCCATCCCTTTTCCCAGAGAAATCCATCACCCCACACCCCCAGCCAAAAATCAGGAGCGAGGGGTGATCCCGTTATGGGATCAGGGCAGGAAAATGAATGGATTGATGCCCAGTTTTCCAACTCCTCCCTGGAATTCCTAATGCTGGAAAAACACCTTTTCAGGAGTTTTGGCTTAGGAGGTGGAATTCCTATCCCAGGTTTTCCAGAGCCTTTGGCATCTCCTAAAAATCCCATTCCCTGCTCTGCACTGGGATCTTTGGAATCTTTCCTGCTTCCTGCTGGGAAGGAGCAGGAGAGAGGGAAAAAGATTCCTGAGATATTCCCAAGTCCCTCCCAAGGTGTATTCCAAGTGTTTTTTTCAGCAGCATTCCCTCCTGCACTTTGTTTTTCCAGGATTTTTTTTTCCCAGCCCGGTTTTACTGGGAAAAACCTCAAGTTCCTGCCACCAACCCCCCAAAATTCCATCATTCCCAAGCCCTTTGGACACAGCAAACAGCAGAGGGCATTTCCCTACTTCCATGACCGCTTCCAACTTTATCCCAAGTTTTTTTCCGTGAGGAAATTACGTTAATTTTCCCACTTTAAATGACAGTGAGGAAGCAGAACGAATGGCACCTCAAGGACACCACAGGACCTTCCCTGGAATTTTCCCCTCTGGAATGTCCACCCCAAAGCCTGCACCAACCCCAGAGATGCCTGAACGTCACATTCCAGAGGCTGGGAATCCCCGGCGGGAATTGCTGCACTCACGTAGGTGTCGTGGTCATAGATTTCCACCAGGATATTGGGAGGGGACTCGGCCACGTCCCGAGAATTCCCAAAAATCTCGATCTCGTAGAAGATCAGGGTCTGATCCCAGGTGGGATTCAGGGTGTTCTTCTCCACCACCGTCTTCTGGCTCTGGTGCAGGAAGGACACGATGGCGTAGGGATCTGTGGGAATGGGATTCAAGGAATGGGATGGATTCCAGCTTTGGCTCTTCCCACAATTCCAAACTCCATCTAGAACCGGCTCCCAAAGAATTTGGGAATTCTCAGCTCGCTCCATCTCATCCTGAGGTCCCTCAGGTCTTGCTTGAGGACAAAGGAGCTGCCCAGTCTATCTCACCTGGAATTCGGCATTCCAAGCCCAAATTGCCTGGTTTTCCAGTTGGTTTGCCATCTGGAAAGGCTCTCCCTGAGAGTTGGGATTGTTCTAAAGATCCAGGGAAGTCTTGGAGCCACTTCCGGGGCCTGAAGGGGCTCCAGAAGAGCAGGGATTTGGGGAAAGCATGGAGGGACAGGACACAGGGAATGGCTTCCACTGGGAAAGGGGAGATTGGGCTGGGATCTTGGGAAGGAATTCCTGTCTGGGAGGGTGGGGAGCATCTCACACATCCCTGGATGCAAATTCCAGGAACATCCCACACATCCCTAGGAGCTTTAATGGGAGTCAAAGGATGCAGCTCCCAGGATTACCTCACAAATTCCTGGATACAAATCCCAGGATTATCCCACAAATTCCTGGATACAAATTCCAGGATTATCCCACAAATTCCTGGATACAAATTCCAGGATTATCCCACACCCCTCTGGATGCAGCTCCCAGGAACATCCCATGCTCCTGGATTCAGATCCCAGGATTATCCCACACCCTCCTGGATTCAGATCCCAGGAAAATCCCAGGCATCCCTAGATTCAGATCCCAGGAAAATCCCACATTCCTGGATTCTGATCTCAGGATTATCCCACAAACCACTGGATTCAGATCCCAGGATTCCCTGGAAGCAGGACCAGCTGATCCCAGCAGCATTCCCCCTTTTCCAAGGAATTGGGGCACCAGGGGTTGGATTTCCCCCTCTATCCATGCTTAACAAACCAGGACCACTTGGGCATTCCCAACAACCCACTCTGGGAAAAGCCTTTCCCACTTTTCCTCAGCCAAATCCATTACAATAAACAAAAACCCTTGGATTTGGAATTGCCTTTCCTTTTTTTTTTTTCCCCCATTTTTCCCTCCCTTCTCCTCCTTTTTTTTTTTTTTTTTTTTTCATGGAAGCCTCTCTAAAGCCCCTTTGTTGGGAGCAGGGAATGTTTATTTTTCCAACTGCCGAGCCCCTTTAATGAACTCCTTTATTCCCGGCAGCGGGAATCACAATCCCACATTGTGGAACGTTGCTGCTCGTGTTGTCCTTGGCCGAGATTTTTCCAAAGGAAAACGATTCCGGACTCCCCTCCCAGGCCATGAGCTCACCTCGCTCCCACCTCCTCATCCCGACAAGGAGCCTTTTGTGGGAATTCCAGGTGGGAGCAGACATTGGGGAATTTTTTTTTTATTTTTTTTTTTGGATGCTCTGGGGTGTTTATTCCCAAAAATCACATTATTCCAATGACTGGGAAAAGCAGGGTTCCCTTAGGATCAAGGTCCAGCTGCTCCCCCAGTTTTGAGATTGTCCCTGTTTCCTGTCATTCCTGGGATGTGTTTAAATCCCAGAATTTGGAGGGAAATCCCACTCAGATCTTTCTGGAAATTCTTATGGGAATCGAGCAGGGATAGCCCTGGAGGGATGTGGGATCTCTCCCACCAGTGGATTCTTCTCCTGGGATTTGGGACATTCCACATTATCCCAGTTCTGATCCAGATTCTGAATTCCCAGATTCTGATTCCTTTTCCCCACTTTTCCAGCTCTGAAGCATTAATGGGAATACCTGGCTGGAATGGCCCAACCTCCAGGGATGAGGAGGGATGTGGGATTTTCCAGATAATTCCAGGCATCCCATCCCCCCTCAACCACATTCCAAAGGGATGTTCCACCTGCATCCAAGCACCTCTAGTATGGAAATCCCATGGATAAAAGGATTTCTCCTATTCCAACTTCTTTCCTATCCCAAAAAAAACCTCCAGTGTGGAAAGGTCCTGACCACACCAGCACAATCCTGGGAATTTCAGAAATCCCTGGAGTTATACTGGGAATGAGTGGAGCAGCAAGATGTGGAAAACTCCTTCACAAAGGCCAGCCCCTGTTTTCTACCTGGATTCCCTTTTTTCCAGGGAAATCCCCTTCCTAAATCCCAAACCTCAGGCACTGCTGCTGCCCAGCTGGGAGAAGAGGAATGCTAAGGAATTATGGAATCGTGGAATCCCAGACTGGTTTGGGATGGAAGGGACCTTAGGGACCATCCGGATCCAACCCCACAGGCTGGGAACTTTCCCCTGGATCAAATCCAACAAGAAATTTCCTGAGGATGCTGGAGAAGGGGCCGGACTGTGCCGAGGTCTTGATTATAAATCCTGTCACCCTCTGGAAATCTCCCCGGACACATGACATGGAAGTTTCTCCCTGTGCTCCATCATATCCAGCCTGAAAAAAGGAAGGCTCCAGAGATTCCTTGGAGCACATTCCAGAGTCCCTGCAGGGGCTCCAGGAGAGGTGGAGAGGGACTGGGGACAAGGCCTGGAGGGACAGGACCCAGGGAATGGCTCCCACTGGGAAAGGGGAGATTGGGCTGGGATCTTGGGAAGGAATTCCTGCCTGGGCTGCAATTCCCAGATTTGCTGTGGCTGCCCCTGGATCCCTGGGAATGTCCAAGGCCAGGTTGGATTCAGCTGGGACAGCAGGAGGTGTCCCTGCCATGGGATGTCCCTCTGCTCCCAGAATTCCATCCCGGTGCAGATCCAGACTCACCAGAGAAGCTGTCCTTGTCCATGGCCATGAGATCCCGTGCCTGGTACAGGTAACAGCGCAGGTGGAATCGGTTCCCGGCTGCCAGAAGAACAGGAAACATGGAGAGGATCCCAGGGATGGCATTCCATCATTCCCAGTCTCCCATCTGAGGGAATCCCAGCTTAATCCCCCCAGAATATCCCGAGCACCGATCCCATAGCCTGTGGATGTTCCCATAAGCACTGTCCTCGTCTCTACCCTTTTCCCACTTTTCATTTTCCATCTTTTTCTGGGATTAGGATGGAAAACACCTTTGCCGCTCCCCTGGGATTCTTACAGTCAAAAATGCAGGAGATCGTGGGTCTGTTCACTCCGAAACTCAGGGTGGATGCGGATTTTCCATCGGATTTTCCATCGTCGCTCTTGTCATCTGTCACTCCTCCCTGCAAGGAAAACAATGGAAAGTTGGGAATGCTGGGATCACCTCCAGAGCTGGGATTCCCCATGTGATGGAATTCTCGGGGGTTCCCAAGAGGAGTCTGGGCTTCTATATTTTAGGATTCCAGGGAATGCTGGAATTTTTTAGAATTTAGAATTTAAAATTTGGAAAAGCTCTTGGAGATTCCTGAGTTCTCCTAATTCCCCGCTGGCCTTGGAATATTTGAGTGATTTCCAAAGTTGAGAATTCCCATCTGCTGATCCCATGGGGAAAAAGGGGAATAGGAAAAATCCCACTGGGAGCTCTGGAGGTGGGAGGCAGCAGGATCTGAGATGGGAGCAGCTCATGGAAAACACAACGGAGCCACTTTTATCCCAAAGGGATCAACTCTGGATTGGAGGGAAAGACAGAGCAAGGAAAGAGGGGGAAAAAAGCCAAACAGGAGAGAAAAAAAAAAATCCATAAAAACACAGAATGGGAGCTTTGTGCTGCTTTGGCTCGTGTGGAATCATCGGGAAAGAGGCAGATTGGGAAATCCAGAGTGTGGAGAAAGCCGGGAACAAACAGGGCGGAAAACGGGAAGCAGATAACGAGCGGCCGATAACGAGCAGTTGATAACGAGCGGCCGATAACATTCCCAGGCGGAAATTTGGGAATGGGAGAAGCTGTTCCCTACCAGAGCCCCTTCCAAGGCGAAGACTGCGGCAGGGCCGGTGAGTTCCAGAGGCTCCATCCGGCGTCTCCAGCGGCGCCGGCGGAAGGAGTCGGAGCGGCGCTGCTGGAGGTGGAAGCGCCAGCCAAAGAGGGAAGCGTATTCCCAACCATCCCCATCCAGCTCCTCTTGCTTGTGCTGCCAGACAGGGATCACAGGGATCAGGTTTTTCCAGGATTGACCCCACAGCTGGATTTAGGTTTTTCGGGATGTTGTTGGATAGGGTTGTTCCACCCCAGGTTTTCACTGTGTCTCCCCCAGGTTGGAGTCATGGAATGGAGTAATGGAATTGTTCAGAGAATCATAGGAATATTCAGGTTGGGAAAGATATTGGAGGTCATTTGGTTGAGGTTGAGAAAGGCCCTGGAGATCATCATGGAATGGTTTGGGATACAAGGGACTTTAAAGCCACTTCTAGGGACACCTCCCGCTGTCCCAGGTGGATCCAACCTGACCTTGGACACTGCCAGGGATCCAGGGGCAGCCACAGCAAATCTGGGAATTGCAGCCCAGGCAGGAATTCCTTCCCAAGATCCCAGCCCAATCTCCCCTTTCCCAGTGGGAGCCATTCCCTGGGTCCTGTCCCTCCAGGCCTTGTCCCCAATTCCAGCTCTCCTGGAGCCCCTGCAGGGACTCTGAGCTCTCCCTGGAATTTTCCCTTTTCCAGGGGAACATTCCCAGCTCTCCCAGAGCAGAGGAGCTCCAGAATCCTGGAATGATTTGGGTGGGAAGGGACCATAAATCCCATCCCCATTCCCACCCCATCCATGGGCAGGGACACCTCCCACTGTCCCAGGTTGCCCAAGCCCCAATGTCCAACCTGGCCTTGGACACTTCCCAGGATGAAGCAGGATTCTCCCAATCCAACCATTAACACCCCTGGGAATTCAGCCCTTCACCAATCCCTGGGGTGAATCCCACTTGAAGCGGGATCGCTGGACTGGGGCCAGATCCTGTGGAGCTCCAGCATCTCCACATCCCACTTTTTACCACCTCCCCTTTTCCCTTTGCCATCATCCCCAACTTCCCCATGGCTCTGCCACCTCTGGAATTTCTCCCTGGATCATCCACCCCAAGCCCTGGAAGGTTTTTCTCCCTGTGACACCCACAGCAAATGGGGTGACAGTGGCCACAACTATCCCGAAAAATTTCTGGCAAGGGAGACAAGTGGCCCTGGGAAGCAGCGGGGGGGAGGGAGGAGCAGAAGCGGCATTCCCGGGACAATGGCACCATCTAGAGGGAAGCGGGATAGGGACAGGCTGGGGACATCGGCCCTCCCCCATTTCCCACACTCTGGGATTTTCCTGAATGTCCCCATCCCACTCAATCCCTCCGGAATATTCTCCACCTCTGGGAATACGGCGTTTTCCACTGGAAACCGGGACAAGCCCCACCCCAACCTCCAAGGAAAAGCAAATCCTGCCAAAGCCAGGCACCCACCCGGAAGGACAGGGCCACATCCTGATCCCGTGGCACCTTTTCCCACCTTTCTCATGGTTTCCATGTGCTCCAGGTCGCGCCGGCGGAGCCGCACCCAGCGCCGGCGCCGGTGCGTGTGGAACATCTTCTCCGCCGGCACCCAGGCCTTGGGCTTGCGCTCCGGCGGGATCGTGATCCCGTATTCCCAACCTTGGGAAGAAGGGAATCCCCGGTGGAGGTGGGAGAAGAGCCTCCCCCCAGCAACCTTGGTTCCCAGCAGGAATTTCCAACATTGAAGGCGTGGCTGAATCCAGCAAGATTTCCCAGTTGGATTTCCTTCCTTACGGCACAATCCATCCCTTTGGAATGCCCAGGGATGGATCCGTGGTGTCCTTGGCTCCAAATCCCATCCTGGGGACTCTTTCCTCCCTCCCTCCCTCCAGCCATTCCAACCCCCAGAACCATCCCAGCACTCTCCAGCTCAGTGTTTTCAGTTTCTTTTCCACCAGGATCTTCCCAGATTATCCCAGCACTGCCTTTGGGAATTCCCACCCCACAGCTCCAGGCAGAAACAAGGGAAAGGATCCCCAGAGCCTGATCCCTTCTCCCAGTACAGTTCCCACAGCTGTGGGAATGCTTTCATCCACAGACCATGGAAAGAAATCCCAAAATTCCCAAATCCCAGATTCCACAATTCCAGGATCCCAAAGTTCCCAAATCCCAGATCCCAAAATTCCATCTTTGGTACCTTTCTCGTCCACAGCCCTGTTGAGATCCGTGTCCCATTCCACATCCTCCCACTTCCAGCCTGGAGGACACTCAATCTCCTCCTTGGGCAGGACCTTCTCCCCGTTCTGTGGGACACAGGGAATTTTCACTCAAGCCAATCCTTAAGATTTCCCCTGGGATTCCAGCCCAGCTCCCAGAATTCCCAGTTTTCCCTCACCACGTCCGTGTAGGAATCGGTCATGTGGATCCACTGCCCCCCGGGAAGCCGGACCTGGTTCTCAAACACCTCCTCCACGAAGCTCAGGTGTCCGGCGTCCACGTCGTGCAACAACCTGAACCCCGGGAATTCCCAAAAATCAGGGATTCTCCAACCCACCTTCCTCCTGTGCCATCCTCAGCGCTCCCAAATTTCTCCCGCCCCTCCAAGCAAAGTTTCCCCTCAGGAAAAACCCAAACCAGGATGAAAATCCCATCCCAAAGCTCCTCATTTTTGAAGCATCCCAAGATTTGGATGAGGGGGAATCGTGGGCGAGGAACCTCAGGGACATCCCAGATTTTGCCACCGGATTTTTGCAGAAATGCCAGGAATTCCAGGCAGGAAAGCCCCACTCACGTCTTTTCTGGGCAGACGAACCAATCCCCGGCCCAGGTCCATCCTGCAGAAGGCCGGAAGCTGTCCTTGGGAAGTTTGATCCGGCCGGTGACGTCGGAATATTTGGGATAAGTGAGGCCGGTGGTGCCCCAGTTCCCCACCAGCGCCAGCTTGGTCTGGTTCTCGTACTGAGAGAGCCAAAAAAAGAAGGATTTGGGGTTGGAATAACAGAACTCCATGAAAAATCCCGTAGAATCCCTGCAGAGGGACAAACCTCCTGCGAAAAGCCCAACCCATTCCACAGCATCCCGATTTTCCCTTTGTGAGGGACAAGTCAGCTCCATGGATCATTCCCAACTTTCCCCCTCAGCATTCCAGGCTGAGCTGGTGGAAACATCTCCTCCTTCCCACAGTTTTTAGGGAACAATGAGGATTTAGGTCCAGCCCACCCCTTTTTCCTGGCAGGATGGGGATCCCTTGGGAATGCTCACGGTTTCAGCAAAGACGGAGAGTTTTCCCTCGGCAAATTGGTTGAATTCCTTCTCATCCACGGCCAATCCAAACCAGAGCCTCACCCGGATCTGCGCCGGGATCCGCGGCCCCATCGCCTCCTCCTGCGGGTACTGCCAAGGAAAAGATCCCAGGAAGAGATTATTGGGAATTCTTGGAGGCTGGAAGGGTGGGAATGAAGATCCCTGGATGGGGCAGGTGGGACATGGAGCAGTTGGGATAATGTCAGGAGTGGGTGGAGCGCTTTGGGATCATGGAAGGGACATTGGAAAAGACTTTCAGGATCATCCCAACCATCAACATCCCTAAAATGTGTCCCCAGACGACCTTGAGGAGCTTCAAAATTCCAGTGGACAGGATCAGGGGCAGGATCAGGGATAGGACCAGGAACAATGACAAGGTCATGGATAGGGACAAGGTCAGGAACAGGGACAGGGACAAGGATAAGGCCAAGGTCAGGGAAAAGGACAAGGACATGGAGAAGGTTGGGGACAGGGACAAGGTCAGGGAGAAGGAGAAGAACAAGGTCATGGAAAGGTCAGGGATAAGGACGTGGACATGGTCAGGGACAAGGACAGGGACAAGGACAGGGACAAGGACAAGGTCAGGAACAGGGGAAATGACATAGACAAGGATAGAGACAAGGACAGGGACAAGGACAGGGACAGGAAGAAAGTCAGTGACAGGGACAGGGACAAGTTCAGGGACACAAGCAAGGTCAAGGACAAGGACATGGAAAAGGACAGTGACAAGGACAAGAACAGGGACAAGGTCATGGAAAAGGACAGGGACATGAACAAAAACAGGGACAAGGACAGGGACACCTCTGGGGTCAGGACACCGAACCCAACCCACACATTCAGCAAACCAGGAACAATCTCCAGGAACTTTTCCTCACAGCCCTTTTCCCTCTCTCCCAGCTGCTTTTCCCCACTCCAAGCACTGCTGGTTTTCCATCCAAAAATCACAGATAAGGGAAAATCCCAATTTTGAGATTTGAGGATTTGAGTTCATTTTTTGTGCCAGCTGGGTTTGTATTTCATTTCCTTTTTTTTTTTTTTTTGAGCTTGTTCTGTGCTGATTTTCTGCTCCTGATATTTTCCAGACCTGAAATATCCTTGGAGACAGGAAAAGCTTGGGAAGTGCCTGGGAGAGGAGTCAGCAGCCAAAATTTTCTGGAGTGGCAAAGAGTCAGAAATTTGTGAAAATATTAAAAACTAAAATAATAAATAGAAAAAAAAAATCCTAAAAAAAACACAAACTGGGAAAAATCTTCCCTGCCTTAGAACTGCAGGATAGAGGGAGACATCCAAGGAATCTGCTGCAGATCCATGGAGAAGGAGCTGGACTCCATCAGAAGCACAACCTGGAATTTTTCCTGCAGTTTCAGCCAGGTGGAATTCCAAGAGAAGCTGTGGGTGCCCCTGGATCCCTGAAAGTGTCCAAAACCAGTTTGGATGGACTTGGATCCACCTGGGATAATGGAAGGTGTCCCTGCCCATGGATTGGGGTGGAATTGTTGGGATTTAAGGTCTCTCCCAACCCAAACCTTTCCATGATTCCATGAAACTGGGGTTGAATGCTGTGTTGGGATTTGAGCTTTCCCTGCTGAATTTTCCATCTTTTTTTTCTTTTTAATTATTTTTAGTGGAAAAACTGTTTGGAAAATCCAGATTCCACCTTGGACACGCTTCCAAAGGTACCTTGAGGAAGATGGTCTGGAGCTTCCCACAGTTCCGGCCGCAGCAGTTGGAAATGTTCCGGGAATACAGGACCTGGTGGGCCGGGACACGGGCGTAGGCCACGCGTTTGTCCCCCTGGAGCATCCAGATGACGATGTCTGGGAGGCTGTTCTGGGGCTGGGAAACACAAATCCATAAGATCCTGTCGGGAGGGATCCACCGGCACAGCCCAGAACGGGATCGTGAAATCGTGGAATGGTTTGGGATGGGATGGGATGGATCTTAAATCCCATCCTATTCCACGGGCACGGACACCTCCCATTATCCCAGATGGATCCAACCTGGCCTTGGACACTGCCAGGGATCCAGGGGCAGCCACAGCAAATCTGGGAATTGCAGCCCAGGCAGGAATTCCTTCCCAAGATCCCAGCCCAATCTCCCCTTTCCCAGTGGGAGCCATTCCCTGGGTCCTGTCCCTCCAGGCCTTGTCCCCAATTCCAGCTCTCCTGGAGCCCCTTCAGGGACTCTGAGCATTCCCTGGAATTTTCCCTTTTCCAGGGGAACATTCCCAGCATTCCCAGCCTGGCTCCAGAACAGAGGGGCAGAATTTTCCCTTTTCCTGCTGTGGGATCAGCCTGGAGCGTGTGGAGCTTCCCACCCACCCACATTCCCAGTCCTTCTCCCAGTGCTGTTCCCTATCCATGAGTTGACCTCAACTCATCCACGAGCCAGACCAACCTCAACCATCAGAGCCAAACCTGGCACCATGGGAGAATCCATGGATTTGGGAGCTAGGATGGAACATCCCCCCACCACCACCACCACCACCACTTCCCACAAAAACCACGATGGGAAAACCAGGAAGAGTCACCTCCTCCGCCATGGCCCGGAGCCGGCACAGCCAATCCTCCGCCTGATCCAGGATTTGGGAAAGGCCGGAATTGTCGTGCTTGAGCCTCAGGGCCACCTTCAGGATCTGCTCCAGGTGGGTGCTCCGGAAGCGGAAGAGGTTCTGATCCAGGTGGGTGCTGGACGCCTTCGCCAGGACATCGGGAAGCTTCAGGCTGCAGGGACAGGTGGGAATCAGGGACTGGGCTGGATTGGGATGGACCCAGAAGGTCGTTAAGGTTGTTAATTGTCACTAATCGTCATTAATGGTCATTAATGATCACCAAACATCATTGATGGCCATTAATGGTCACCAGTCATCATTAATGATCATTAATGGTCACTAATGGTCACCAATCATCATTGATGGTCATTAATGATCTTTAAGGGTCACCAATCATCATTAATGGTCACCAATCGTCATTAATGGTCACTAATGGTCACCAATCATCATTAATGGTCACTAATGGTCACCAGTCATCATTAATGGTCACTAATGCTCATTAATGGTCACTAATGGTCACCAATTATCATCAATGGTTGTTAATGTTTGTTAACGATTATTAAAGGTCATCAGTGGTTACCAGTCATCATTAATGGTCATTAATGGTCACCAATCATCATTTAATGGTCGTTAATGGTCACCAGTCAACATTAATGCCCATTAATGATCACTAATGGACACCAATTATCATCAATGGTTGTTAATGGTTGTTTATGATCATTAAAGGTCATTAATGGGTACCAGTCATCATTAATGGTCACTAATGGACACCAATTATCAATGGTTGTTAATGTTTCTTAATGACCATTAAAGGTCATTAGTGGTCACCAGTCATCATTAATGGTCACTAATCATCATTAATGGTCATTAATCCATCCCAAATCCACCCCCAATAGCTCATCCAGCTTCTTGTGGGATTTTCCGGCCTTTTTTAACGGTTTTTCCATATTTTCAGTGAGTTTCTGGGGATAAAGATATTTGGGAACAGGAAGAGCAAAGGAGCTTCAAACCACAGCCAGAATTCCCCTGGGAATCAGGATGGGAATGAGCCACACCCACATTTTAATATCCATTGATCCAAGCTCCTGGAAAAATGGATCAGGTGCCAAATTGGGAGCTTTTCCTGTAAAATTCAAGGATTTATGGATGCACTGCTATAAATGAACTTCCTGCTCCCAGCTCCCAAGCCACAAATCAGGATTTCCTCCGGAAAAAATAGATGGAGAGAAAGATAAATTTATTTTTAGGCAGTGGAGAGGTTTGGAAGGAGATTTTTTTAGGATATGACATTCCCACCTCGGGAATTGGGATATGTAAATCACATTTTTATGTGGTAAATAGGGAGAACATGGAATTATGGAATGGTTTGGGATCTTCCACTGTCCCAGGTTGCTCCAAGCCTGGCCTTGGACACTTCCAGGGATGAGGATTTGGAGTGAGGGGGAATGAGCAGGAAAAAGGTGGGAAAAGAGGGGGAAAGGGGGAAAAGGGGGAGAAAAGGATGGAGGAAAAGAAAGAAAAAAAAAAAAGAAAAAAGAGGAGGGAAGATAAAAAAGGAAAAAGGAGATAAAAGGCAAAATAATGGGGAAAAGGGGGAAGGGAATAAAGAGGGGGAAAAGATGAAAAGAAAGAAAAAACAGGAAAAGGAAAAATGGAAAAAGGAGGAAGAGATGAAAAGGGAAACAAGGGAGAAAAGGGGGAAAATGGAAAAAAAAGGGGAAAAGAGGGGAAAAGTAGGGAGAGAGGAAAAAGGAAAAAATTAAGAAAAAGGGGAAAAACAAAAAAGGGAAAAGGCAGTGCTGGAAAAGAGGACAAAAGGGGGAAAAAAGAGGAAAAAACAGGAAAAATAAAGAAATAGGAAAAAGGAGGAAAGGAGAAAAGAAAAAAGCAAAAGAAGAAAAAGGGGAAAGGAAAAAAGGCAAAAAAGAGGGAAAAGGAAAAACTGCAAAAAGGAAAAAATGAATAAAAGGAAAACGGGAAAGTGGGGAAATGGTGGAAAAGGGAGAGAGAAAATAGGGAAAAAAAAAAGGAAAAAAGGCGGGGGAAAAGGGAAACAAGGAGGGAACTAATAGAGAGGGGAGGAAAAGGGGGGAAATTTGAAAAAAGGTAGGAAAAGAGAAGGAAAAAGGAGGAAAAATGGGAAAATAGAGAGAAAAGGGGGAAAGAAAGGGGGGAAAGAAAGGGGGGAAAGAAAGGGGGGAAAGAAAGGAGAAGAGGGGCAGAGGCAGTGTTCTCTTCCAAGACCAAGAAGAAACATCGGGAAAAGTTCCCCATCCCGAATTCCCAAAGCACCTGCAGTCAGCGATGACATCATCGAGCAGTTGGGATCCCAGGGCCTCCAGCTCGATGGGAGAGCGATTGGATTTCAGGGCCACCTGGATCTTCTCCAGGTTTGCTTCCTGTGGGGAAAAATGGGGATCAGGAGCTGTGGAATTCCACAGAATCCGATCCCGCTTCCAGGACATTGCCAGCAAGAGGTTGGGGAAGGTCCCTGGGATCAGAGATTCCACTCTGGATCCCACCAG